TCCGTCCTCCTTCCTCCCTCATCCCTCCTCCTTCCTGCCTCCTGTCTCCTGGCTCCTGCCCCCTCCTCTTACCTCCTACCTCCTCTCCCTTCTACCTCGCCTCCCTCTCCCTCCTCCCTCCTCCTTCTCCCTCCTCCTCCTTCTCCTCCTCCTCCTCCTCCTCCCTCCTCTCCTCTCCTCCTCCTCCTCCTCCTCCTCCTGCCTCCTCCTCCTCCTCCCCTCCTCCTCTGCCTCCGCCTCCTCCCTTACCTCCTACTCCCTCCCTTCTACGCCTCCCTCTCCCCTCCGTCCCTCCTCCCTTCCTCCCTCCTCCTCCTCCCTCATCTCCGCCCTCACCTCCTCCTCCTCCTCCGCCTCCTTCCGCCTCCTCCTCCTCCGCCTCCCTCTCCTCCTCCTCTCCCTCCTCCTCCCTCCCTCCTCCTCCCTCCTCCTCCCCCTCCTTCTCCTCCTTCCTCCTCCTCCTCCTCCTCCTCCTCCTCCTCCTCCTCCTTCTCACTCTTCCTCCTCCTCCTCCTCCTCCTCCTCCTCCTCCTACCTCCTCCTCCTCCTTCCTCCTCCTCCTCCTCCTCCTCCTCCTCCTCCTCTCCTCCTCCTCCTCCTCGTCCTCCTCCTCCCTCCTCCTCCTCCTCCTCCTCCTCCTCCCCTCCTCCTCCTCCTCCTCCTCACTCCTCCTCCTCCTCCTCCTCCTCCTCCTCCTCCTCCTCCTCCTCCTCCTCCTCCTCCTCCTCCTCATCCCCTCCTCCTCCTCCTCTCCTCCTCCTCCTCCTCCTCCTCCCTCCCTCCTCCTTCCTCCTCCTCCTCCTCCTCCCCCTCCTCCTCCTCCTCCTCCTCCTCCTCCCCCTCCTCCTCCTCTCTCCTCCTCCTCCTCCTCCTCCTCCTCCCTCCTCCTCCCTCTCCTCCTCCTCCTCCTCCTCCTCCTCCTCCTCCTCCTCCTCCTCCTCCTCCCTTCTCTTCCTCCTCCTCCGCTTCTCCGCCCGTGCGGCGCGCAGTCTGTCCAGGCGGAGCTTACTACGGCGGTGCGGCCGCGGCGGCTCAGGAGAGCATGGCCCCTCCGGGGCGCTCTCGCTGGGGTCGCGCTGACGTGGCACCTCGGCGCCGGCACCCGTCACCGTCCGTCCCTCCTTCCGCTGCCCTGTGACCCCTCCCCGCCTCCCCCAGCCGCTCCCCGCCCTCCTCCTCCATTCCTTTTCCTTATGAATAGCTTCTCCCTGTCGCACCCGAGGCCAATTTTTAGGGCGAGCCGGGCGTTTCGCCTGAGACTTTCTCACCGCTGATGACTCTCAAACTTAAAAATGACAGCAGTTTCACATACGGACGGCGGGACGTTTTCAAAATGTGGCTCTCGCCTTCGCGCCGCGCACATTCGTTTGAACGATTTGCAAGAGCTTCACGGGTTGAAGGCAGGTGGTTTTCAAAATGTGGCTCTCGCCGTAGCGCCGCGCACATTAGTTTAAACAAGTTGCAAGAGCTCCACGGATTGAGGGCGGGTCGTTTTCAAAATGTGGCTCTCGCCGTAGCACCGCGCACATTAGTTTAAACAACTTGCAAGAGCTTCGCGGACTGAGGGCGGCTCGTTTTCAAAATGCAGCTCTCGCCTTAGCGCCGCGCGCATTCGTTTTAAATCTTTCCAAGAGCGTCACGAATTCCCATGATCTACGTACCATAAATGGTATTTCGGAAAGATTGACGTTCCAAACATGGCTTTCTGGCACGATTCCGGATCGCCAAAACGCGACAGTCAGGTTGATCCGTGGCGTTGAAATCCCGAGAACAATGTTTTGGCATGCTTCAGGATCTTCAAACGGTTGTCTTCCAACGAAGCAGTTCCCTCAATGGAAATGAACCGCTGTAAGGGCCTATGCAGGGGGAACTTGGAGGGAGGGTTCATTCCAACATCGTTGGTGACTCTTGGGTTTACGCTGGTCCTCCTCCTCCTCCTCCTCCTCCTCCTCCTCCTCCTCCTCCATCCCTTTTCCTTATACATAACTCCTCCCTTTTCTAAAAATAACTCCCCAGGCGTGGCAAGTATCGATCGGGCAGGCTAGGCATTGCGCCCAATACTTTCTCATCACTTCTGGCCCCGAAGCTTAACATTCGCAGCAGCTTCAAGGATGGAAGGTGGGCCGTTTTCAAATGTGGCTTTAGCGCCGCGAACACCCGTCTTTTGTTTTGAAAAAGTGCAATGGCTTGACGGATGGGGGGCGGGCGGCTTTCGAAATGTGGCTCTCGCCTCAGCGCCGCGCACACCCGCATTAGACATTACAGGGGCTTCAAGGATGGAGGGCGAACGGGTTTCAACATGTGGCTTTCGCCGTAGCGCCGCGCACATTCGTTCACAACAAATTGGAAGAGCTTCTAGGATTGAGGGCGGTTCCTTTTCAAAATGTGGCTCTCGCATTACCGCAGCGCATATTCGTCTTAAAATATTGCATGAGTTCGACGGATTCCCATGGTTAGCGGTTAGCGTGCCAGGAACGGTGTTTGGAGCTCCTCAGGATTGCCAGGGCGCAGCAATTCTGTGGATTGGCTGTGTTGAAATCCTGGGGGCGGCGTTCTGGTACGAGTCGGGATCGTCCAGACGCAACAATCAAGATGATTCGTGGCGCAAACTTCCTGAAGTTGTAAATTGGCACGCTTCAGGATCTTCCAGCAGTTGTCTCCCATCAGGGCACTTCATGGCACTTCCCTGGATGGAAGTGAACCCTCGTAGGGACCTATGATGAGGGAGCTGAGAGGGAGGGATTATTCTAACATCGTTGATGGGCCTTGGGTTTGCACTGGTCTTCCTCCTCCTCCTCCTTCATCCAATTTCTTCATACATTACTCATCCCTGTCGCGCCCCCAGGCGTGTCACGTGTCGATAAGGCGGGCTAGGCGTTTCGCATGAGACTTTCTCGCCATGGGTGATCCCGAAGCTTGAGAGTCGCAGCAAGTTCATGAATGGAAGGCGGGCAATGTTTCAACATGTGGTTTTCGCCGTAGGACCGCGCACGCCCTTTTTGAAACATGTGCAGCTGTTTCGCGGATGGAGGGCGGCCCCTTGTCAGAATGTCGGTTTCGCCTTAGCGCCGCGAGCACTCGTCTTTCAAACTTTGTAACAGATTCACGGATGGAGGGCGGGCCGCTTTCAACGTGTGGCTCCCGCCTTCGCGCCGCGCAGACTAGTCTCAAAGGTCTGCAGCGGTTTCGCGGACGGACGGCGGGCCATTTTCAAAACGTGGCCCTCGCCGCCGACGGCACGCACACTCGTCCTAAAACACTGCAGCAGTCTCGCGGGTGGAGGCCGGGCCGTGTTCAAAATGTGGACCTCGCCTTAGCGCAGCCCACCTCCGTCCATAAAACATCTGCAGCAGTTCCAGACATTCGTATGGTTGAGATTCGAAGAACGGCATGCAGGCACGACTTTGGATTGTCAGGACGCGACAACTACTTTGATTCGCTGTGTTGTAGAGCCATGATTAATGTTCTGGCTCTCTTTAGGATTGTTAGGACGCAGCAATCACGATAATTCGTCGCGCTGAAGTCCCAAGAACGGTGCTTCGGTATTTCCTTCCAATGGGGTCCTTCCCGCAATGTACATAAGTTATTCTAGGGACCTATGTAGAGGGAACTTGGAGGATTTTTCGAAGCTCCTCCTCCTCCTCCTCCTCCTCCTCCTCCTCCTCCTCCTCCTCCTCCTCCTCACAATATGAATACTACTCTCCTCTCTCCCCTGATGACGTCCGGAAGATGTTCGCCCCCCCTCCGCGTACTGTTGAGTTTACACACAGGATTCCCTGGAATAGGGTTTTCGCCCGGATTTTTGTTTCAAAATGTTCCTCCCGCTGCAGCGCTGGCCTCATTTTCGGGCTTCCGCTCGTTCCGAGTCGTGCTCCCGCTGCAGCGCTTGCCTCATTTCCGCGCTTCCGCTCGTTCCAAATCCTGCTCCCGCTGCAGCGGTGGCGTCATTCCTGGAATAGGGTTTTCGCCCGGATTTTTGTTTCAAAATGTTCCTCCCGCTGCAGCGCTGGCCTCATTTTCGGGCTTCCGCTCGTTCCGAGTCGTGCTCCCGCTGCAGCGCTTGCCTCATTTCCGCGCTTCCGCTCGTTCCAAATCCTGCTCCCGCTGCAGCGGTGGCGTCATTATTTCCAGTGCCATGCCACGGCATGCAATGCAATGCTATGTGGTGTTCCGCTGTGCGATGTCATGCCTTCAGCAGCAATGCCAAGATATGCAGTACTTGACTACGCAGTGCCATCTGTGCCGCTGTGCGATGCCATTCTTTGCATTGCAATGCTTTCTGATGCAATTCTTCACTACGCAACGCCACGCCATGCTATGACATACTACGCTCTGCCGTACTCTTCTACGCCCCACAATGCCACGCTCTACGATGCATCGTGCACCCCCTCGGGATCATTGCCCTGCTCGACATCCGACTGTGCGAATGGAGAGGAGATCTACGCCGGACGTCAGATATGACGCGAGCGCACCTAGCTTGTCCTCCTCCCCCTCCCCCTCCCCCTCCCCTGCCGCCCGTCCTCCCCCCCTAGAAGAACAGATGGCATGATGAGGATGAACCTCTCGGGGGTCCGCGCGGGCTTCCCAAGCCGGGCGCTGGGAGCCCCCTGGCGGCGCCTCCGGCGCCGACCCAGAAGATCCGCGCATGCTTCCGGAAAGCAGTGGTCGGGTCGTTTTCTGCTCTCTGATCCCCCCACCACCAAGAGGCCGTGCACGGCGCGACAGCAAGACCGACAAAAACGACCGCACCGACAGCGAGAGCGAAACCCGCCGAAACCGACAGGCCAAAAGCAGCCTGAAAAAGGTCGCAGCGACGAAGCAACGACACGATAACCGACCGAACCGAACCGACCGAACACAGCCGACGGTGATGCGACCGAAGCGACCGCACCGTGAGCACCCTTGCAACTTGCATCCCTGCCCCCTGCCTGGAGGGCAGGGCCTCGGAGCACTGGGTGGTGCGATTAGGGCGTGCTCCGGCACGCGTGCGGCTGCTCTTTTTTCGTGCCGCCCACTCCTCGCACACGTCTGGCCCACGTCCCTTGGAGCGAAGGGCCTGCGCTCACGCGAGCCCGCTTCAGGTCGCACGTGCCAGGGCTGGTCCGAGGCGAGCGAGCGCGGTGGTATTATAAACCTCCTCTTGTCTCGAGGCCGCCGTCACACGATTCCCCCATGTCCTTCAGTCGGTCCACTCTGCGAAAATTGTCATGCAAACTATTGGCGCGCGAATTTATACTCACACAAATACAATAGCCCTCCACAACACTGCGGAAAATGGAGGGAAAATCGTAAGCCCATGCAGTCTCTAACTGCATTGGCTCGACGACCACACTGGACCGCCTCCGCGCTGCTGCCTCAAGCGCCCTTGGCGGCCATGATGAGGCCCTGGACGAACTTGGTCGCTGGAGGCGCGCACCAGTAACCCAAAGCAAGCGCCAATCCCTGCTTGATCGCCCCGAGCGAGGTCGACCGGACGAAGTTGGATGGCTTGAAGAACTCTTGGAATGTGAGCTCTTGGCCCTTTGACTGCAGGAGGTACCCACGCCACTCGTTGAAAGGGGCTGATATCAAGCAGCCGAGGATCACCACGATGAACAGCACCTCGGGCGAGGTGATCGTCCAGCTGGAGTTGAGGGCGAGAACGCCGATGGTGCAGTAGTTCCGCGCGATGCCGTACACGATGTCACGGATGACAGTCGGCGGGTACGCCTCGTAAATGTTGGCCCAGTTCACCTCGAGATCCATCGACTTGCGGTACCTGTAGTTCGTCACCGGCAGGGTGGCCGTAGTGAAGACGAAGCCCGTGAAGATCCCACGGTAGGTGGGGCTGATCGGGAATGCGCCGCAGAATGCGTTGATGGCCTCGAAGAACGGGAACTTCAAGAAATTGGTCGCGAGGGTCGTCTTGAAGAAGTTGAGCATCTGCTTGGCGCTCACGTCGTTGATGGCGTCCACGATCTTCATGCGCTTCACCAGCACGCGATTCACGATGGGCTCGCCCACCGCCGAGAGGGCCGCCTGGATGACCGAGGCCACCGCGCCTGCACCCATCGCGTTGATGACCTTCGACATGACGCTGGCGGCGGGCGCCGCGGCCGCACGGGCGGTGGAGCCGCCCGCCGCGCGCCCGCCGGCACTCGGCAGGGCCGCCGGCGCACGGCGGGTGAGCCGGGTGGCGGCGGCGGCCCCGACGTCTGTGCGGGCCGAGGACGACCCCGGGGCCGCGAAGGCCGCGAGCGCCTCGCCGTCGGCAAAGTCGGAGACGCGCAGCTCCACGAGGAGCTGGGCGGCGAGCGCGACCAGGGCCACGTAGGTGAGCACGCTGCTGCGGGCCTGGCGGGCGCGCGGCGCCATCTCCGCGCGCGGCGGTGGCTGCTGCAGGGCGCGAGGGGGGCGCGAGGAGTGCGCCTGGGCTGCGGGGCCTGAGCCAAAGCGGCTTGAGCCAAAATGGCTACGGACCAGGCACGCGCGCCACAGACCCCCGACGTCATGATTTTTTCATGACGTCGACCCCCCGAGGTCTCGACCCATTCCCGGGGACCAGTTTTTCGTCCTGAGTCGTTTTTTGACGGTCCCGAGGGCCGGTAAGGCCCCCCAAGGGCCAAAAATCATGAAAAACCTCCCGTCGTGATTTTTTCATAACTCGAGGGGGTCTGGGGCGGCTGGCGACACGAAATCCGGGCGGCTGCCACGAAGGGAGAGGGGGGGGGGGAAGCACAGCCGGGATGGAGATCTTCTCGTGCGGGGTGGCCCGCCGCCCTGTGCTGGTGACGGCGGCGGGTGGTGCGGAGGTTGCAGCACGGAACTTTTGGGGACGGTTTGCGACGCACGGCGTGCGGGGAGAGAAGAGAACACCGCCACAAGGCCCATGGAGCACCGCCCCCACGGCACGCCAGCGGTGAGTGCTGGGCCGTGGCGCCGCCGAAAGGGGGGGGGCAATGGAGCGAGATCAAGGAGGGCAAGGGGACAGGAGGGAGGGCAACGGGAGGAGTCCTCTTCTCGCTCCTCCTCTCCGTTTGCTTGCCCTCCTGGAGGTTGCTGCCCAGGGCCCAGGGGAGGGCCGCGAGGGCCGCCCCCACTCTTGGAGACACGGGTCCGCAGCTCGAGGCTCGAAGCTGGAGGGGGGAAGGACGGGGGCGCAGGGACGGAGGATGGAGGACTACGGACGTGACAGGAAGCAAACGTGGCGAGCGGCGTGGCGGTGCCCGCTCAATGGGGTGCCCCCAAGGGGGGGGAGGGGGGTCGCGGCCATCACGCAGAGAGCAGCGGAAATTCACGACGACAACAACCTCCTGAAAACGTCCTGGCAACCTCCGTGTCGGGAACTCCACGATGAACTCCGGAAGTTGAAAGCCTAAGTGGAAGAGGGGAAAGAGGATGAGGGGTATGATGATGAGATTGGGGAAGGAGGAGAGAGGAGGAGGCGGAGGAGGAGGAGGAGGAGGAGGGGGAGGAAGAGGAGGAGGAGGAGGAGGAGGAGGAGGAAGAAGAGGGAGGAGGGGAGGAAGGACCTGAGGGGAGGAGGCGATATGGTTGTATTGGGAGGAGAGTAGGAGAAGGGGGGAGGGTTGTAGGAATGGAAGAGAGGTCGGGAGGAGGGGAGATCGATGAGAAGGCCGAGGATGAAGTTCTATGACATACGGAAAATGAAGGAGGGGAGTGGCAACGCTGCAAAAAGAACCAAATGAATAAGACAATAATTACTCCTGACAAAAGCAACCTTGAACAAGAGTGTACAAGCATATTCTGGAAAGCATTTCCCTTAAATTCGTGAGAAATGAGGTCGGGGTCCGGACAGGCGGGGTGGCCGGCCGGCGCTCGCGCCGGGTTCGGGTGCCGCGTGCCGTGTGCCGGGGTGCCGGGTGCCTTCGCCGGGTCCCCGGGTCGCAGGTGGCCGGGTGCCGGTTGCCGGTCGCCGGGTCGCCGGTCGGCCCGCTTTTGATCGTCGGGTGGCTGTAAGTGCGGTAAGAGCGTTCATCTTACATAATCTTAGTTAAGCCATAGAACGTACACTTGTTGATCGCGCATCTCATGTGTGCATATGCAATACTTATGGTGTTTGTAAGTGTAGATGTAAGTAATATACTAAGATAGATATCTCTGCTAAGTCGATGGGGCTGAACATATTCGTGTTTTTGCTAATCATTTGCGTATTTTTTATTCTTAACTTTTTTGAAATCCATTGAATTTCCGTTGTTGTTGTTGTTCAGTTGTTCAGGACCGAGGCGCCGCAGGTACTTGCTGTGCCTCGCGGCCGCGGCGCTGCGGGCTGCGCGCATGCCCGCGGGGAGGGGGGAGGGAAGGAGGAAAATGTTTATCCATGTGTCTTCGGCCCTCCCTTATCCCCCCTTTCCTTATGCGGCGCACCGCCTTCTCCTCCGTCGCCTCGTCCTCCGTCGGCGGTAATCCGCCTTCTCCCCCCCCCATGGCGGCAATCCGCCTTCTCCCCCTCCGTGGCGGCAAACCGCCCTTCTGGCGGCAAACCGCTTTCTCCTCCTTTGGCGGCAAGCCGCCTACCCCTTCTGGCGGCAAACCGCCTTCTCCTCCTCTGGCGGCAAACCGCCTACCCCTTCTGGCGGCAAACCGCCTTCTCCTCCTCTGGCGGCAAACCGCCTACCCCTTCTGGCGGCAAACCGCCTTCTCCTCCTCTGGCGGCAAACCGCCTTCCCCTTCTGGGGGCAAACCGCCTACTCCTCCTCTGGCGGCAAACCGCCTTCTCCTCCTCGTGGCGGGAAACCGCTTCTTCCCAACCGCCCTATCGGCGGCTTGCTTTGCCGCCTCCTTCCACCCCCTCGGCGGCAAGCCGCCCACCCCTTTCCCCCCTCCCCTCCCTGGCCTCTCCTTGACCCACCTTCCCCCATAGCTCTCTTCTTCCCCCCCGCGCACCCTTCGGCACCCCCTCCCCCGCCCCCCCTTCGACACCCTCTCCCCCCTGCGCCCCCCCTCACCCAGGAGGAGGAGGAGGAGGGGGGAGAGGAGGAAGAGGAGAAGGAGGAGGAGGAGGAGGGGGAGGAGGGGGAGGAGGGGGAGGAGGAGGAGGAGGAGGAGGAGGGGGAGGAGGAGGAGGAGCAGGAAGAGCAGGAGTAGGATATGTCCGTCGCACGCGCGTTGGCTCGATCCGTTTTTTGGCGAGCCCTCCTCCGAGGGCTTCGGGCGGCGTGCGCGCGCGGGGAGTCGCGCACTCCGCTCGGCGCGCGGTCGCGCCGCATCGCTGCCATGGAGGGCATCCTTCGAGGCCGCCTGGAGGAGGCGCGGGCGGCGTTCGTAGCGCGCGGCAGTGCGACGGAGCACCTTCCTGCCTGCATCCAGGTGCGACGTCCCAGCGCTGGTCGCAGCTCCAGAGTGCGCAGTTTGCTGCTTTGGGCGGCGGCGTGGGGTGGGCGCAGTCCGAGCTGGGAGACTTCTTGCAGGCTCTGTCGTCGGGCAGCCTGCAGGGGAGGAAGCTCCAGAACTACGAGGGGTTCATTGAATTTCTGACGCCTCAGTTGTGGGAGTTCGTGCTCTCGCCGCATTCGGGCCTCACTGCCAAGATGGCGGCGTTCTCAGAGCACCTCGGGGCGCTTGGCCTGAGGCATCCGAGCTGCCCGACGGCCGCCAATATGGCAGCATTCTTGTTGCTGGTGTGCAAGAAGACAGGCGTGGAGACGGGCGAGATCACGAGGGAGCTGTTGCAGTCATATCTGGCCACAGTGAAATCCTCGTTCAAGAATCTCGTGGCGACGATGCCGCCGCCCAGGGATGGCATCCAGGCTCTCCCCATCACGCCTGGGAGGCTCCAGTCTCTGTACCCCATCACGTACGTCGACGCCTTCCCGCCAGGTGTTGGAGCGACGGCGCCGCAGATAAATCCCGTCGAGATGGTGACGATTGCGAAGCTGATTAATCTCCGTGCAGGGAAGTAGAGCGGCCACCTCGCGCTGCCCGCGCCTGCGCCCGCCCGCGGCGGGCTGCAGCCATCCCACGGCCCAGGCGGCGGCTCTCCTCAGCAGCACCTCCCCATCGCGGCGGCCGATTCGTTCTCTGGGCGCTGGCCGACGGCTCCACGGGGAAGAACAGAACGCATTCCCCCGCGGGACACCTGGTATTGGGTCGAGGGGTGGGTTCCTGGATCGGCGCGGGGTACGTTTCTGGATGCCTGGATGGAGGGCGTGTTGTGAAATATTCCCCCCCCCCATCCCCCTAGGGGGATGGGGGGGGGGGGGGGATATTTTCGTTCGGCGGTGATCCGCCTGATTTCAGGTGGGGCTTTCGCGCAGCGGCGGCCGCTGGCCCAACCCAGCCATCCAGCTGATCGACCGCTCGCAGACGCAGCAGCCGCAGGAGCCGTTGCAAGAACGAGCAGGTTCGAACCACCAGCTTTCTATGGCGGCGGGGAGTTCGGATGCGCCGTCGACGCAGCAACTGGCGGCACACGATGGCGGCAAACCCGCCGACTGTCAGCCGTTATCGAGCACCGCCGCCGCCCAAACGGCCTCGATCAGCAAGAGCCGCGCGGCGAAGAAGCAGAAGAAGCATGAGCTGCCGATCGAGCTCGACTCCGACTCCGACTTCGGCATCGTCGCCGTGACGCCGCCGCCCAAGGCTGAGAAGGTCGGCATCGCCGCAGGCTCTCTGAAGAAGACCCCGACGGAGGCGGCCCTGGCCATGGTCGCGGCCATGGATAAGAGGACGAAGGCGGTCAAGACGCAAAAAAAAAAACGCCGAGGCGGTGAAGGCCCCCACGCTTGCCACGGGCAGTGCTGCTAAGAAGACGACGCCGCCTGGCAAGGACAACGCGGCAAAGAAGGCGACGCCGCATGCCGCGGGCAACGTGGCTAAGAAGAAGACGCCGCCCCCCACGGGCAAGAAGACGGACGGCGCGGCCGAGAAGGACAAGAAGCGCAAGTGGGCGAAGCCGAGGTGGGAGATGCAGACCACGCGCAACTTGGCGAGCGGGACTGAACCTCCCACCGATGAGGCGTCGGGCGCGTGCGGCGATTCCCAGCAGCTCCGCGGGGGTCGCAGTTTGCGCGCCCGCCGCCTTTCAGGCGACTGTTCATCGTTGCTCCGCCCCCCAGGTGCAGTTCCGCAGCGGCAGGATCGGCGTCCCTGCCAGCAACGTCAGCCTGAAGTACATCGCGGGCGATGAGGCCGACAAGGCCAGATTCTCACCGACGCCCTTCTCGACGCCCTCCTCCGCGCTCTCTTCATTTTCGCCCCTGCCTCGACGCCCCCCCCCACCCCCTGCTGTCTCGTTGCGCCCGATCGCTCCGAGGCCAGGGCCATCGCGGAGGCGGGGGAGCTGGTCAAGAAGGAGCTCGCCGCCAGGGCGCGCGGCGAGTAATTCGCGCTACGACTCTTCAACTCTCCAGGCCAACGGGGCGGCCTCGGGATAACAAAAAGGTCGTGGCGGATATGCCGCCTCGTGGCGGATATGCCGCCTTGTAGCGCAGCCTTCTCGCCTTCCAACTCGTGGCGGACCTGCCGCCCCCGCCCCACCCCTTTGCGCTCCTCCGCCCTTCAGGCGGACATGCCGCCGCCCCCCTCCCCTAATCGGCCCACTCCGCG